TATATATTGTAAATGAATTATTTCAATTTATAAAATTTCCAGCTGTATTAAAAATATTAAAACTTGAATAACTGTAATAAATTAAATAATTTTATTAAAAAGATTTTAAAAAATTTCAACAAGAACTTTTTTCCGAAAGTTGTTGAAATTAAATTTTGTAACTAGAAAATCTTTCATTGATAATAGATAGTAAATATGGAAATAACCCCCTCCCCTAAAAAAAAAATGATTTACTAAACGCTAAGGCTACAATATGGTAATTGATATCATTCAACAGTTCTCTTTCAGACGCAAAGGCAGTTTTTAAAAAAATATCGATATCGGTCATATTTACTACATCACTTAGATCCATAGATATAAAGATCCATAGATATCCCCTATATTAGTCCCTGCTTAGATCAAAAGTCATTAAGGATTGACTTGTTCTCCTTGTTGATAGTGCTATAAGAAAATCAAAAAAAAATATTTTATGTAACAGATGCTGTACGTGGGTCAAAAATAACCTACAGAATAATTTTTTTCATAGATTAACATTGCCTTAAATTTCATCTTAACATTATACATATGAAACATTGGGTACCACTACCTGCAAAGTTCATATAAGTAAGTAACAGTTTCTATAAAATGTATTAAAGTAACCGAAGAAGTTAAACCATCAAGACTTTCATTTTTTAAAGTTCAAACTTTGAACTCGATCATAAAATGTTTTAAATAACATAATAAATGAAACCAATTTTTACTGTTTTCTCAAATCTTTAGAGATTTTTTGGGCCATTTGAAGTAAATATTTATAGCCTTTTTCTATTATTAAAAGCATATTAAACTTACAGAAATAACACAACATTGTGTTAATATTTTCTAATAAAAATCCTTCAGTTGAACTCTATTAAAATATTTTAATTTAAAACTTTTAATCCATGTTTCCTATTTTAAACAAAATGACTAAGAAGTTAATAAGTATTATGCTTCATTTGAGAATGACTTTTAATCAAATAAGGAAATATTTAAACTGTTCTTAAAAGTCTTTTAAGTGTTAGGTACTCAAGCTGAAAAGAGACCCGATGGCATTTATTTAGAAAAGAAAAAAGAAAACTAAACGAACTGATAAGTTTGCCATGACAGCCGGAGTAACGGGCATTTTTTAAGATAAAGATGACAACAAGAGTGAGAAATATTTCTTATCATCCGTTTTATCATCAAAGGTAAGCGTAAAAATACAAATAAGAATGACGAATTTGAGATCTTTGAGTATTTCATTTTCAGTGGATATTGTGCTAGGTAAGATAAATAAAAAAATAAGTCAAATTCCTTAAAATCTTAACAATGTAATTTTTGTTGATTTTCTAATTCAGGACTCTTTTAGGAGTTCTTTTTTATGAAATATAGTAAAAAAATATACATTTTTTTTTAAAAAATGAAGCATTTTAAAAATTATTTTTAAAAGTAAGTATTTGTTTAGTGGCATTTCTACAAAACGGTTCACTGTCATAGAAGATTCGTGAGTAGTAATTAAAAGCAAAAAGATAATGGGGCTTTCAAATTTAGAATAGTAAATTTAATTTGTGCGGTTTAAATATGCTTATTTTTAGTATTAGTGAATTAATTAAGTTTAATTAATACTTATTAAATTATTTTACATATACACTGTAAAAAAGGTTTTCTCAAAATTAAGCAAAATTGTGACAAAATAGCTTCAATATAGTCGAATTTGAAAGGCCCATGTATTCAAAACTGAAGCAGCATATACACATTTTTGAACAAAATGCAAAGTGTCAAAAGTGATTTTAAGGGACAAATGTGTGAGAGAGATCTTCATTGGCTGCCAACAGGATACGAACCAAGAAATTCCGAGTTCGTAAAAGGATGCTCTAACCACCATGGTTGTACACTCAACTCCAGGAAGAGTTGGGAATCTCCTTTTAAACAGTGGCCCCGGCAATGACATATTGTGACATACATTCTATTCGATCAAAACTTTTCTTTTTTCAGAAAAAGCGAACTAAGTAATAGTGAAATTACCGACCTGACTAAGCTATGGTGATTATGTTTTCAAAATGTATTTCTTTGTACCATTAAAATTGGAAATTAGTATGATATGGTGATATTGCGGAGGCCACAATCAAAAGCTTCTTAACTTTACCTGGACTGGGGCGTACAAGTATGGTGGTTAGAGCATCCTATTATAATCCCGAAGGACATTGGTTTGAATCCTCCTGTCAGTCAATGAGCAATTCTTTCACATATTTTTTCTTTCAGATCACTTTTGAGGCAATACATTTTGTACAAAAATGAGTATATGCTATTTCAATTTTGAATGAATGGGTTTTCCAATACTGCTATATTGATATCAGATTTTTTTTACACATTTTTGGTTAATTTTGAAAGTATATTATTTATGTATAATCATTAATAACTGTATATCATACAGTTTTTATGCTGTATCTTAAGCAGCATTCTAAAAATGCGTTTTTTCTTGGGTATATTTTATTTGCTTTCCCATAAATGACACTTCCAATTTATAATACTTATATTGCTTGGATTTAGAAATGATCTATTTAGAAATCTCTTAAAATAAAGCAACTAACTTTATGGGAGGAACTGGGCTCCACTCGTATAATTTTTAGTATGAGACTTAAGGTCCTCAAAAATTTCATACAACGTCTGTAACATTTTTTGCGAACTATTACCCACTCTCAAAATATTAAACTGCAACGCACGTTTAATTTCACTTCATAACATTTTTAAACATAATGTTATGTAAAATATTTGATGAGGTTATGTTATATTTCTATTACATGTAAGTATGTATTTTTTATTATACATAAATATACATTTATGTTTTTTTTATTGCGTTTCAAATTGTGTATTTAAATTTTGCTAAATTTCAAATATTTATAAGATATTTTTTCCTCTACGCAATAAACAAGAAAAAAATAATAACACAAAATTATAATAAAGAAACTCTAAGTTAGAAGATAATTTACAAGGCTTTGTAATGTCTTCCAATGATAAACAATTACAAATGTAGCTCGTGATTTTACGGAAAGCATTCTAGCATATTTATACTTCTACTTAATAGAAAAAAGTACCTTTATTTTATCTGATAAATTTCCTAATGTGTCGGAAAAATCATAAAAAATGGCTTTTTTGAAATGACATTGTTCGAAATGGTTGCTGAGAGTAATTTTGTTGAGTAATTTTTTGCAATTTCCTCAGTTCTGCAGATCTACTTAAATTTGACCTCTCTCTATATATATTTTTTGAATAAATAAGTATATTTTTAGTAAGCTTCCATAATTTTAATAATTTATATTTCTTTGCTCCCAAACTTTCAAAAAAAGTTTCAAAAATAATTTTTCTAACAGTTAATGAAATTTGAACTATCTCGACAAATGAAATTTGAACTATATCAACATTTCTTATGAGTTCAATTTTCAACTCATTTTATTGAGTTTATCCTTTTAATCCAAGGTATCCTGATACAAATTTAAATAAATGCAATTTTAGACTAAATATTTATTTTTTAAAATACATCACTATATGTGAATATATACATGATTTAATTTAAATATACAAAATATTCAAACTACCAAAGGATATAAGAATTAATATTTTTCATATTTTTAATGCTTTACATGCTTTAAGTTAAGCATTTATTTTAATCAGCTTTTGATTAATAACAGTTTTATGAGAAGAATTATTAGCAAAGTCTTGTAATATTGTAGACATGGTCTTACAATTTATAACTTAACAAATAATTTATAACTTATGTATATTATTTCAATAAATAACTCTAAATAGTGTAATTTATAAATTAAATAATTAAACATTTAATTAATAGCTTAAATAATGCTTAAGTCCATTTTTATCTTAGATAATTATGAGAACTGAATCATTTCGATTCAAAGAATTTATTAAATTTAAATAAAACAATAATTTGTATAAAAAAAATCCTGAGTTGTATGATAGCATATCAGGTAAGTAAAAATATATCATTTTAAGAGTTCTTGCTTCATTAAATTGCATTCACCCTTTTACAAAATAAGTTTTTCCATTTATGTACTAACATAAAACCACGAAAGGAGAGTTCCTTTTAAATTCTAAAAAGAATTATTTTTATTTAGTAAGAAATATAACATTTTATCTTTTTTTAAGGATGACCAACATGAATAAATTTATATCATATAAAGTTATATGAGTATCGTTTATTATATCATGTGAAGTAATGAGATGACGTTTATGCAGTACCCTTGCATAAGATTTATTTTCTGAATTATAAAAAAGCATAATATTAATGAAATTTTTAAAAAATTAATAATAACTTTAGATAAAAACGTAGCATCTTAAATAAAAATGTAGCAAATCAAATAAAAATTTAAATAAAAATGTATTTATAAACAAATGGACTCTATCATTTGAATTCTTACACTTATTTAGGAATTATATTGGAAAAAGAAATGGCTCGTTCATTTTGAAAATACATCAGTACATGAGTATATACATTATTTACTTCAAATGTGCAAAATATTTGAGCTACTAAATTAATGGGTAGTATTATTCTTAAAATTTTTAAACTTTAAATTCCCTCTTTTACTTTGCTAAGATATTACACAGCCTATTTTTAATAAATTAATTCATTCGCTACTTTTAAACAAAGTAATAGAGACAAAGCCTATAATTTTAAAAAATATTTGAATTATAGTAAGATAATATTATCTCGCATGCTTATCCAAAATATTTTGTTTGAATTCGTTCATAGAAGTAAATATATTCTGTGATTTTATGTTAATTGCCTCGAGCATTTTTTCTTTGAATAAAATGTTTTATTAATAAATTTTAAGAAAATTAAATATATATCTATGAACAAAATATAAAAATTTCATTGATTTTTGTGAATTCGTAAAGCGATTAAAAATATTTATATTTGGTTCACTGTTTCAAATAAATATTAAAGTAATAGTAATAATAATAATAAAATAGATATCCATAAAAATATTTACCTTTGCCTCCAAAATACCATCTCTTAAAACGGTAATTCCAATTCCTGGAGCGAACCTTAACTCAACTCCTGGTTTAATAATTAAATTTGATTCCCCTTCTATGATAATATCTTTACGAACTTCAAACGGGGAATCTGAAGCATCCAGCACCAACGTACCCGAAATATATCCACCTAATTCTGTAGTCCTTCCATTCACAAGTATTTCAAAGTTTAAAAAAGTTAACAACAACACCCACATAATCATAACAGGGGGTGGCCCCCTTCCAAATCGCACTTTCACCATCGACAACAAAAGGGCGTGGAAGAGCCTTTTCAAACCACAACACACCTGAGTCCGTTCTATTAGGCTTAGGATAAACTCAATGAAATAACTGTAAACATGGAATTGAAAACGGGGGGAAACTGACGGAAAGGGGCATTTCTATACAATTTTTTTTTAGTCCCCCATATTATGTCCGATGAGGGTAAATCAGTCCCCCGCAAACACTCACTTTATCAATCCTCCGTTTAAAAAAAACGTACGTAAAAGATATCCAGCGCGCGGCAACCGAACGAAAACTTATCTACCTGGCTCACGATCACAAAGCTTACTTTTGATTTTTTTGTCGCTCCTGGATAAAGTGGTTTCTGAATTACAGGGTTGCCATTTTTTATCGTTTTAATTCAGCGCCATCTAAACAGTATTCACCAAGCCAATGTTTAACAGAGGAATAATAGTTTCATTGCGGCAAATAAATTGCTTTTATATGGAATTGAATTGATAAGAAGAACTTATCATAGTGTGTATAAAACTTTTTACTGGTTAAGAGAAATTGTTTGCTCCCCATTGTTTTCCGAATCAGAATGACTTTGAATTATTTAGTCAATTTAAATAGCAAAAAACGTAAACTCGTGGCAACTTATTACATAAATTCTTTAATATGAAAAAGATGTTTCTCTTAATGTTGAAGAGTATGAGTCACCCAGTTTGTGAAAAGGATTCGGTGCATTCGGTGATCTTGTCCGTAAATTTTTATTTCATGCATTGTAAAAAACTCCGAATAAAACTAAAGCAAAAAGTATTGGCACCCTGAGTAAAGTACTCGCAACCTCACTTTACCCTGAAATTCACTTTTACCGTAAACTTTTATACAATAATTTTTACAGTAATATTCATTTAATTGCAGTAATTTTTCAGTAAATATTATTGTAATGTACAGTAATATTTAATGTAATATTTACTGTAAAATCATTGTATACTAATGCTAACGGTGTATACTGTAAAAATAATGCTATTTCAAGTTTTTTTCATTCCGTAAAATTTTAAAATAAAAATAGATCTTATGTTAAAAAGTACCGTCGCTCAGGATGCCAATATGTCTTTTGGCAATTTTATCTGGAATTTTTTCCGTACCAACAGTCATGTGAAAAATCTAAAAGATTTAAAATATTTCTTATGTGAAAATACGGTGAACTCTCTTATATTCGAAAGTGAAAATTTGAATTGTAAATTTGGAATAGTGCCAAAAATTCCCATAGAATTTTTTATTCATACCAATGTCAAAATGCGGTCTTTAATTTTGAAAAATTCCTTTCACAACTTTAGTTAGTTTGAAGTCTGATTCGGAGGAAATTAGAAAGTGAGTTACAGTTTTTTATATTTATTGAAATCTTTTGTTTTATCCCCTGCCGATCAATTTGAATTAGAAGTAACATAAAATAGGCCAATTTACAAATGGAAATCCGTAAATTTTTTTAAAAGGAAAGCGTGTTTGTAAATAAAGTGCACATATGAAGAGTTTTTGGCACTTTTTAGACATATGACATTTTTGCATCAAACACTTTTTTTTTTCAGTATTGTTTCCACATAAATCATTAACAAATTTGCCGAATTTTAATTTGATAAGAGCTTAATATAAAAAAAAAATTTTTACTTTTTTCATGAAATAGTGATGTTTTACACCATAAAACGCTTTTAAGAACAACAATTTAAAAATGTGGTTTATCATTTTATTACTCTTTTCCAAGTCCTTCGTAAAACGTGCTTAAGAATTTATAATTACATTATACGACTAATATATCGTGATTAAAACTAAACAAATAAAGAAGTTTCTTCTTAGTTAATATTTTAATGAAACACAATTAAATGTTGTACTATTTATTATTATTTTTTAATCTTTTGGATGAGACGAAGTTTTCCTTTCCCTTTAGAATACGAATCACTAATAGAACGCTGAAATTTATTATATTTAAACCATATTTTCCTCTTTTTATTGACTTTCAATTACTTGTTCCTCATTCTTCGAAATATTCTGAAACGTAGTACAAAATTCTATAAAGGGATAGAATACTCGCCTCCCATTGAGGTGACCCGGATTCGAATCCCAGCGATGGCTGGTTGATACGATTTCCGCACCTGGCTCACACCGACCATTGTGCTGATGTAAAATAGCCTCAGTGGCAGACGAATCTTGGTTTTCAGAGATCCCTTGCCGTCAGGCTAACAGAGGGGGGTTTTAATGATTTTCTTCTCTGTGCAACGCAAATTTCTCCCAAAACTTGATTCAGGAGTTCCCTTGTCTTCTGAATCGGTTTCACTGTTACAAGGATATGGAGTTGAACATTGGTAGTCGTAAATTCAAAAATTTGGGTCGACTGTTCAACGACTGTGATAAAATAGAATAAACTTTAATTTGAAATTTTAGTGTTCATATCTGGTTAGCAGTGTGGTAGTTGAACCATTATTATGAACAGATCGAAATATATTATTGTTATTTTAGGCCATAAGAAATTAGGCTACTATGATGAAAAATATGTTTTGTTTCATTTTTTTTTCTTCCCAAAAACAATATTTCTGAAAGTTTAAAAATAGATATGAAATGAATAATACAGTCAGATTCTAAATCCACTAGTTATTATTTAAAAATTTGTGTTGTGAGCAAATAAAAAAATCGTGAAATATTAAATCTTCAGATTGTTTTACATACTTGCTGGGGCCAAAATTTATTATGAATATTTTACAAACCTTTGTAATATAGCGGGGAAGGGGGGATCTTAATTGTATCGACATCAATTGCTTAGTAAATACCAGAATACTACTTTTTTCAGGGCTAAAAGTGTGAGTTAATAATTTCTTTACAACAAAATGTCACCATGCATTGTGTTAATCCTTTAACCAAATATTTGAATCCGCATTTGTATAAAAAAAGTAATAAACCTAAAAATCATTTTTTTTCCCAGAATTTACTTGAATTTTAATTCAGATAGAATAAATTAAGTTAGATTTAATTTACTTGGAACAGTTTTATAAAATAAATTTCATTGAAATTAGCTTTTATTTCTTATATTAGTTTTATGATTTCATATACTTCATAGTTTAATAAGTAAGCTGCGTGCAGATTATTATTATTATTATTATTTTTCTTTTGCTTTTTAGCAAAATAATATATTAATATATTTTTTATTTAATGTTTTAAAAGAAAATTAGAAATTTTTAAAATGTTCAATAACATTTAGAAATAAAATTAAAACTCCCGAGTTAAACTTTAAAAAAATTAAAACTGAACATAATTTAAAGCATCGATTCTAAGTGGAAGAGAGAAAATAAGGCTAAAAAAGCAACAAGCATTTTGCGCCAAATGAGTCATTTTTCGCCAACAATAAATTTTTAATACCGAAACTACCGTGAAACTAAAAAGAGCGAGAGAAATATATTGCGTAAGGTCACGTGACATCTTCCGGATGACGCTTTGCTGAAAGTTGCCGGTGATTGCTGAAAGCGAACAGTTTACCTGAGTGCCTGAACCAATAGAAAGTCAGAATTTTGAAAAAGGGGAAATGAAACTGCGCGTAGCTCTTATTCAAAAATAAGGGACTCGTATCACTTTTGAAACTCTTATGTTTAGATTTCCGCCAGCTGTTTGATGCGCCGCTAACAGGGAGATGAAACTCCTTTTTTTATATTCACGAAGTTCCGGTGCTTGGCAAATAAGCTAAATTTTGTGATAGGTAAATAAGTTTAGACACGTCTTAAAAAATTAATACAATGGAAAATTACAACAGGAAAAAGTTTTTTTTTTCTTTTTCTTTTATGCAAACACTATTATTGCTCAGTTATTACAAATTTGAAAAGTTAAGGATGCGGTGCGGTTGTTGGAACAATTTTGGCATCCATATTTGAAGTCGTTATCAAAATACTTAAATATCATTCCATTAAAATAAAAATAAGTATTTGAAAAAATTGAATGGATGTGTCAAAATTTGATTTATGTAAAATATTTCACTTTATCGTAAACCTTTTTTGAAAAGTACGTAGAACTTCTCGTTTGCCGAAATTAAGAACTATTTTTAGTCAAAAATAAAGCCAATTTACGGGAAAGAAATCACATCTGCAATCAATCAGAATTTTCTGCTTTGCGATAAATCTAAGAAATAAAGTAATATTTAATTCTGCAGCGTTGTGCTGCTGAATAGTGTTCTATGTACCACACTTTTCCGTAAATACAGAATTGTTTGATTCGGGGTTAAGAAAATTCTTTTAAAACAACTGAAAAATAACAAAGCCAATCATAAATTTATAGAATGAGTCAAAAATTGTCAAATGTTTTACTGTCCAAAAGATATTACTATAATTTTTTAAGAACATCACAGAAGTCAAACTAATTTAGAGTGCACAGTTTCAAAGACCGATCTATCTTTTATTAGCTCTTTGCACACTAAAAAAATTTTAGTGTATCTTAGCACCAAAAATGGCGGCAACTACTCTACACCAAGAACCAAGGGATACTTCCAAGTTCTTAGTATAGTGAAACACTAAGAGTATTTTTTTACACTACTGGGCGTAAAGAAGCTGCCACCATTTTGTGTATTAAGTAATACTAAAATGTATAATTGCAGCAATGCAATGATTCAAACAAGAGTCAGTAAAGTTGTTTTTAAGATGAAACACGAAGAAAAAAATCATTAATTTAGGATGCACATATTCTTCAAAAAAAAAAAATTTTTTTTTGTTAGCTGATTAAAAATACACAACACAGGGAAATTATTACGAGGAATTTCCAACTGGGCTTAACATAGCAGAAGAGGATAGAAATTCGATATTATAAAAATATTTAATACATTGCCAGATATTTAAAAATTAAAATATTATTATTCTGATCGCACCACTAAAAACATGCATACATTTTGAAACGGTGAATCCACGCTATCTCCTAATCGATTGTAAACAGACTACTGGTGATATACAAAGTATGCCAAGATTGACGTTCACGGAAGCGACAATAATTCAAGAATGGTGTGAATACATGGGAGCTTAGTTTATGATTTCTCCACTGCTGTTTATAAATTGACTACTCTGAAGTGTATGTGAAGGTTCAACTTGGTGTTAATTTGAAATAAAGTGTTCCTTAACACAATTTTTCACACTTACTTGGGCTCCCGATGGAAAAAATAGAAGAGGAAGACCTAGACTTACTTGGCTTACTCGTATACACCAAGATCTGTACGAAGCACAACTAAATAGATGGGAGGAAACAAGAGGACAGGGGTGCCTGGAAAAAGAGACTTGAGGCATTATATGCCAGCCGGCAAGAAGAGGAGAGGTAGAGGGTTCACTAGCCCACCGGAATACCGATACCTATCCCGGTGCACCCTCCATCTTGGTTACTTTCTGTTAAAATTAATTAAAAAAGAAATTGATCCTAATTTTG